TGCTATCCATTCTGATCCTTTAAAAATTGTTGGTATATACAGCATTAAATTTTAAAGTTTTGCTAGTAAATCTTTAACTATATAGACATTTTATGTCTGTAAATAAACTTAAATATTTGTTAGATTTTAGTGTTTCTATTCAATTTTGGAGATTATCCAGGATTTCGATTATCTGGGAACATATATTCACCAACCAACATGAATAATCGGGAGTCTGTTTTCCTTTAACTTTATCGGGTGCTTTGATTTGTTATCTCAGCCCTATGTTCCTAAGAGGAATAAAACTAGCCTCAAAGACGGGTTTAAAGGAGTGTTGATTGAAATTCTGTTGCGTCATAAATTAGTTTTTTAACCATTTCAGTAACCTAAATCCTTCTGTTAGTCTGTAAAAGTTTAGATTATGCTGACCCGGTCTTACGTTGCCTAATCAGAGACTGAATCCCTCAAAAAAGTTAATCAGTTTATAGGGAGGTTAGTTGACCACATCAGCTGATCTCTTATTTTGTCAGTGATGTGCCTTGAACTCGATCGCAAAACGAACTTACATCGGTGTGACGTTATCTCCACCCTCAACCATGACTTCTCGTGACTCATGGTGTTGCTTAAGAAAATAATTTTTCCTGACATGCGGAGGCATGTCCTCGGACCCGTGTGTCGAATCTTTAGAACCATTCCGATGGTGTGTGCTGATGTCAAGAGGCACAAATTGCCAGTAACTACTAGGTTCATCCACAACACTACTTCCTGTCCGCGGCAAGTACTCACATTTACACAGCCCAGTAATCGGCTTGTGATCACAAGTATCTTTCAAAAGTGTATCCGTCTGTTCTTGAGAAGCTACGTTCATTCGAATGTCAACAGTTCCAGTTTTATGATCATAATATACAGAAAAGTTCGCAGGAGCGCCACCAGTGTTGGCGTGTACATTTTATATGTCGTTAGCCTGAAGAACTTCAAAGAATGTGTAGTTTCCCCGACACGTCGATTTTTCTGTTCACCCTGGTCTCTTGCTGTTTTTCTGCTCTCACTGATCACTACACACGCGTAAAGTTCACTCGCAAAGGTTTGTTACCCTCTGAAGTAGCAATGTCGCTATTTTACAATTTCTATATGCATATAAACAGACTTCCAGTTGACAGTTACCATGGTTTCAACCAATACAGTTGTGTATTTCTGTGATGATATCTGTTTGGACGGTTTTTATAGTTTTGATATGATATTGATTGTTACTGGCGCAACACATAAGTGCGTAAGAAATTTAGTTGAATGTTGTCAGTTTAAAATTGTCACAGCTGTACTTCTCATTGTACGAACTAAATTTTAATTTAACCTCAAAAAGTGATAGTGGAACAACGGTTCCGTAGAATTTGACGTAAATATGTCAATACGGAGAGGAAGTTTATATATTGGCATGATTCTAAATATTTCCTTCAGAAGTGCTTTATAATTGAGATAAATTTGATTAAGACATTGCTTATTTAACTTCAATTATCCACGCTTAAAATGGGTCTGTGTTAGATGACAACATTGCCGAGTAAACAGATGAGGTTTCCTAAGTAACATAACATTGAAGTTACACTTTTTCGGTTCCTTTTAACGGAACACTTTTTTGTAACACTATTTCGTAACACTTTTAGGTAACACATTTTTGCCGAATAACACTGACACTAAAATATAGACGTATTTACTTCAAAAAAGCTCTTCCTAATCTTTATTATTTGCAATGATACAAACTATTTAGAAACTCATTTAGCTTTGATGTTGTCACTTACTGTGATTGTGCTTTACTGGTGGATTTCTTCCAGAGAATGTGACTCGAAAGAAATATTGTGTGAAACCAATTATGAAAATCACATATAAGCAAGCACATTCTTTTGCACTAAAACGCTTTTACTGCTGTGTTTATAATGAAATTATTTGTCTCTGAAAACAAGCTGATAAAATTATATCTTTGCTATAAAAACGTAAATTGTGTGTAGTATATTGAAATCCAAGAAATGCCACATTTATGTCCAAAGTCGTTGTCTAACAACGTTTTTTTAAAGTACATGTAGGCCCCGGTACAAGACAAATTTGTGGCCCCCGTCGAAATATTGGGTTTGCCAAGTGGGTTCGAACGGTCTGGGTTTACCTCCAATACACTCTCCATCTCGTTACCTCCATTGCAGTCTCCGTCTGATTAACAACTCAGTTCTCATCAATACTTGACCCATGCTCGTCAGATGCCGCCTGAGTTGTCCGAGCGCGCTTACGTTGCCTATACTGCGGCGGTACTGCGCTTTGGTGTTGGGTCCGGGCCTGACGTTTTCGGTGTGATTTTCTTTGGAATTTTGTGCTCAACGCATTCGTGCCTGATGTTAGTAATTCTGGTTGTACTTTGCCCTCATATATCGCAACATTTCAAGAAAATCGGGAAATTTTCAAACTTTTTCAAATTCACAGCCTCTTATATCTTTGAGTTTTTGAGATGAACACTTGGAGTTGTAACATATACACTCCTCTTCAATACATCACTTTGTTCACTCGAATCGGATAATTAGTCTGTGTGATATGATCCCGTTTATGGACATGTGTCGAATCCGGAAAGTATAATATCTTGCTTCTATTAAACATTGTACTTCAAGTTGCTAATAACACACTGTATAACCATTATCATTATCTGAAGTTCACATTGGTCACGTTTTCTTAATACATGCCATTATATGTATGAACCAAGTTTACTGATATGGCTGAAGCTGCAGCTAAACCTCGACTCTCATTATAACTTTCTTAATTTTCATTTCTATGCTTCTTCGTCTTTTTCTTCTTCTTCTCGTATCCTCTTACAAGGTGTACAAAACAATCTATTGTCAATGTAAGTTTTAAAATAAAAAGAACTGTTAGAACTATTTTGTAACGTTAATAGTGGGCAGGTTCCTTAGTTATTTTTAAGAAATGCTGGCCCACTTCTTAGAACCAAAATTACAATAAATGACAGTACAATTAATAATAAATCTCATAATAATGTCAATCTTACACTGTGTTTATGAAGTGGACTATAAGAAACAAATGATTTTCCTTTCTTCCTTATGTTCTGCTCATTTTATAATCCTTCTAAGGAACCTTCTGGATATCTCCATTGCTAGGACACTTGTTTGTATTTCCTGTAATTAATTATAGAATTTT